TCAGGCACCCCCTCGCCTGGCTGCGCCGCACGCTGCCAGGGTGCCCGGGGCAGTGCCCTGCGCGCCCGGCCGGCACCTGCCCCGAGCTGGGAGCTTTGGGGGTTCCCCTGGTTTGTCCGGGTGTTGTGCGCAAGTGCCATGGCAGCTGTGAAAATGCAGTGAGAGTCACAGAATGGCCGAGGTTGGAAGGGACCTCTAGAGATCATCTAATGCAACGCCCTTGCTCTAGAGCACCAGGCACAGCATCTCATCTCATCTTCTTTTGAAGAGCTCCAGAGAGGAGGAGATTCCACAAGCTCCCTGGGCACACTGCAAAGCAGCCCGCAGCAGTTGCTGCCCTCGCTAGAATCACACAACGCAGGCCCTTCCTGGTCTTGGCTGCCTCCTCCGGCACCTGTGCTGTGCTTTAAAGTGCTCCTGCTCTCACCTTTTGCCTGCTGCTGCACCGGGGGGCTCCAGCACATCGTGACTGCAGCACCGTTGTGCCAGCGCAGCTGGGACACCTTGGTCAGGGAGCAGCACAAGCCGCAGAACTTGCGTTTGTCCTTGAAAGCATTTGCTTTCAAACCAGCAAAGTGCATGAAAGGAAAATAGCTTAGTAAATAACACCAAGGCTTTCAACAGAGCTTGTTTGCATTGGAATTAGCTGTTAGGATTATTTATACTGAGTAGTACCCAGCGACCCTGATAAGGATCAAGAGCCTCTTCTAGGGGGAATTACACAAACAGAAGAATAAACAGCATGCCTGTTCTGAAGGATTTTTTAGGATTTTTCCTGATGCTGACCTTCTGTTTTGTTTTCTTTTATCAGGCAGAGCATAAGCCTAGAAATCCCCACAGAGGTCAGTTTTCCTTTGGATGAGTATTTATGACTCTGATAGCGCAAACAACGATACGGACGCCTTGCTTTGCGCATACCTCTGCAATCCTGCCTTGAGCATCGCTTCTCCTCTGTGAGCACAGTGTGCACCGGGGCTGGGTGGATCTGGAGTCTTCCTCTCAGCGACGCTTCTCAGACACCATCCACGTTGCTTCACCTCTTTCCTTGGAGTAGAGACTCTTCTCTAGCATCACTGCCTCAAATCTCTCAAGCCACCAGCCACCCATATCCACTCCTTCACGTTCTAAATTCTGTAGGTGTTTTAAGAGCTTTTCATTAAGTTTTCAGGGTCAAAATGGACAGCAGACAAGGAACTTGAGCTTAATAAAAGGTTGTGTGTTTTGTTAGAAATATTTTTCCTCTTGAAAAACTTAAAACTAGAGATTTACAGCAGATATATTTTCTCTTACCTGGCTGAGTCCTGAACTTGGCTGTCAGCCCTAAGCTGAGCAGCTCTGCTCAGTTTCTCTCTCTCATGCCTGATTTGGCATGTGACAGTGGTCTGACCTGTTGCTCAAAGAAGTGCCCACATTTAAAAGAGTCTTTATCTCCTTCTTCCTCATGTGCTTCTGTTGGAGGAACTCCAGGCTGCAATCCTGTCCCCTCACCTTGTGTTCAGGTTCGTGGAGGGTCACACAGGAGCATGACGGAGGAGAACCAGTCATCCCAGTGTGAGGGAGTCATCTAAAGTCAGCAGACCTGGGGAATCTCTGACTCTTAGCCTTCCCACACATGTCAGTCTAAGCAAAACCATATCTAGAAGCATCTGACCTCCCACAGCCCCGCGAAGGCAAAGTAGGTGCTTAAACCAAGATGAGAGCTACTTCACAAAATTGCTGCCATTAAACACACGGTGGCACTTTGATGCAGAGACCTCTAGTCTCCTGTAAGCAGAAGTATTTTGGCACGCACATAGATATTAAGCACACGGTTAAGTGACTGCAGTAGTAAACACATAGTTTCATCTCATGTATATAAATCCTAAAAGGTTCATTCCCACCATTCAGCAGTGAATGCGGCTGCCAGGCTGAGAAAGAGCCAGTAAAAGAAATACAGCCACATGCGTTTGCTTTATTTATGCCGCCCTGAAGAGGTAAGTATAGACTGGCCTTGGCAGTTAACTTCCTCTTGTCTGTGGGCTCACTCCAACGGTGCTATAAAAAAACTGCCAAGTGTCAAAGGCAGATACAATCTCCTCCCAGAGCAGCTGCCGTTAATCCAGTTATCTGCAACACTCAACGATGCCTCAAACCAGCATATTAGAACACTTAATACTTTAAAAGTATGACCAGCATATTAGAACACTTAATGCTTTAAAAGTATGTCTAAGGGGTTCTCAAATGATTATCTAAGTGGTGTCCCCAAAGCAATACCTTTGGAGGAGTGAATCGAGCGCTCTTGGGAGAAGTGGGGGGAAGAATCATGCCCACTTTCCAAGTGGCACAGACTTTCTTTGCTCTCCTACAGAGTGTACTAGACTCATCACCAGTGCTGCAGTTACCTGCATTGCAACTGCGTTTACTGGAAACAAGTTTGGGCAGCTTGATATAGCCCCCAAAATAACAACACAGTTACTGCCTGATTGCTTTTGGTTTTAGTCGGATTGGGCAGCAGAAACGTGACAAAATACCTTTGAGGCCTTCTTGGGTGTCGCTGAGTGGCTGCCGCAGAGTGAGAGAATGAGAAACAAGACAGCTGCCCTCGGTCATAACTAATTTACTGTAATTAGTAATCCAGGCCTCTGGTGAATCACTCAGGTGCTGCAGGAAATTTTTCTTGGTGGCTAGTAGAGATGGGTAGAATTAAGAAAAAAGCTATTTCTTTGCTCCTCTTGGTTATTAATGACTATTTTTCCTTCTGGTTAAGTAGCATGGTGCTATTTTTCTTCTCACTGACATTATGGTCTGAGTTTCTTTTGTCATCCCCTAGACTTCGTTGGTCTAGCGGTACCTGCTAGTTTGATATAATCTGCTTTGGGGTTTGGGCTGTGCTTTGCTTTCCTCTTCTTAATATGCTCTGTGGACTCTGCACTTGCAGAGTTTTTCTAGCTCAGTTTCAGCTCACTCTCTTGAAGAGATCTGCCCGAGCTGAACTCTGTAGATATTTGCTCTCTTCTTGCTCTGTATGCATTTAAAGCATCTTGTACCTGTTGCAGTGAAAAAAATGAATTTATTTCACTGACTTAGAAACTGGTGCTAATCTGTGGTGATGGTGTGGTGGTGAATGCAAAGGGTGACTTGTGATCTGTTTGATGTGAATTCTGATGCTCTGCAGCAGAAGAAGTGTTGTTCTGGCTGAAATAGCAGTAGAAATTGATTAGTCCCTCGATAGGGATTTTGGTAAGAACAAGACTTCTGTATTCACTGCTGCTAGAGAACTTGCAGATTTATCTGTTTACTGAGCTGCAAACACAAGGCTGTCAGAGGAATTTAGATTCACTGGATGTAACTAGCTCATAAAGTGGAACCTTAGACTTTTACCTCATATAATAGACTTGATTGGATTACAAAAATGAAGAGCTCCAGCATTAGTCTTCCTGCTGCAATGAATTTAT